TTGCCCTTGCCTTAGACTTAGCCCTTGTGGGTAGAGATGCTCTAATAGGTTCAAGTAGATCAAGTTGGGATAGTGGCTCTTCTGGTATTGTTCTAGCTTCAGTCTATTGACAAGTGTGGAATAGGTTTTACATTAATTAACGACTGTCAATTGCTTAGGTAATGTGAAAGGACTCGAACTAGGAGAATATGTCTCTTTTTTACTTGAATTTGTCTATTTATTGCTTACCAAAAAAGAAAAGTTAAAGTGATGACACTACAAATCGTGGGATGTTTAAAAAGACAAGAGAATTTTCATAAAACATCACCAATCATGCTCTCTAGTTTTAAAATGAGCATTTTTTGCTCATCACTTTAACCTAAGGTGTACACTTATCACCGTTTTAATACTTGACACGTGTTCATGGGTATAACTATAGTTACATAAATACAAAGTAAATAATTAACTATGATTATGCCAAAGAAAAATTAGTGTTTACCCATAAAAAACTTTAGTAATTAGCATTTGATACATTACTTATTTTTGTTTTGGATAAGGTGGATGAGTTTTAAATTTTATTTTGTTAAAGACCAATTAGTAAGCCCATGTGCTAAAAGCATGATTAATATAAGAGTTACATTTACATTTTCACCATTTTCTGATATTTTGTTTCCATCGTGATATTAAAGTTAGCGATCGACAAGGACTAGATGAGCATCGGCATCACGACCATAGCGATCAACCTAGCGTCGGACCTTCAAGTGGCTATCTTCAAAGCTACATCGCACAGCGAGCAAGACGCGTATAGGAGATCATCATCGTCACGAGCTGAGTATCGGTGCTTGGTTCAAAGGAGGTTTTCATATTAAATCTAGGCTCCTTTTGGACTCTTCTCGATTGCAGTCCTGGTTTTGTTAGTTGTTCACCATAATCAGCATGAAGATCAGGTCAAACAGTTTGTACTAGTATGATTGATTAGCTCCCCTGTGCTGCTATTATGTGTTAATTGATTTACTTTGTCCTTAAATTGGTGACTTGTGTGTTTCTTCAACATTTTAATTTGATATTGGTTGATAGGAATTTGATGTGCTTCCTAACCTAAAGGATTGCAAATTCTGTTAAAGAATATGAGTCCCACATTGAAAATTTGACTAAATAAAATACAAAATATAATGAATGGTTCTACTACTAATAATACTGAGACCTTTTATGATAAAACCCCACACCTACTGGACTTTATACGTGGTTAAGTTAGAGACAATATCGGTATTGTTAGTAGTAGGTCGTTGGCCCGTCTCTCTGAATTTAACATGGTATCAGAGCCTAGTTGGTTGACTGGCCCCGATTAAACCCAAATCAAACAAACTCAACTCAAACAAAAAAAAAAACCCCAAATTGAATCAAAATTAAACAAACCCCAAATTAAAATTTTTTAAAAAGAAAAAAAGGAAAAAAGAAAAGAAAAACATTGACTGATGTGGAATTAATTGCACGTGTGGCCCACTAAAAAGTGGTCCCACGTGAGGAAGAGTGTTGAAGAATACACGAGTCCCACATCGAAAGCTTAACAAAATAAAAAGTCTCATATAATAAATGGTTCCACACCTAATAACATTGAGACCTTTTGTATAAAACCTCACACCTGCTAAACATGTGGTTAAGTTAAGGACAATATCAATGTTGCTAGTGGTGGGCCAATGGCCTGTCCCTATGAAATCCTAAAATGGTATCAGAGCGGGTTGATTGACTGGGCCTGAATTGGGCCTCTATCCTTACCTAATATGTGGTGTTCACATGTTAGGCTTGAATGTTTATCCCTACCCTTTACCCAATATGTGGTGCTCACGTGTTGGGTTTGAATGACTGGCTCTGATACCACATGAAGGAAGTTGGGGGGAGTAGCTCAACTCCTTATAAGCCCTTACTAGGTTTCTCAACTTTCCAACGTGGGACTTTTTATCTTCACATTCTCACACGCCCCGCACATGTGGCAAATTTTCAAGTTTAACACCTGGACAACACATATTGGGTGATGTGGAGCACGTTTGGCCATTGGGCTTTCATACATGGGCTAACCATGCTCTGATACCATGAAGGAAGTTGAGGTTCCACCTGAAAACCAATTGGCAATGAGGGGAGTAGCTCAATTCCTTATAAGTCCTTGCTATGTTTCTCAACTTTCCAACGTGGGACTTTTTACCTTCACATTCTCACAGATTCTTGGTCTTACACAGCAAAATTGGAGTTGACCTCTAGTATGTTGTTGCTTGCAACTTTGACTACTACCTCACAAACACAAACTGGGTTTTTTGGTGCTGCAGATGATCTTTCCATGGATGTTTGATGAGATTCATGCCTTAAGGAAATTCAAAGGTGCTGCTCATATATTGGCTGAGAAAAAGGATTGGCCTCCACTATATGACATCACTACACTAAATAATAACAAGGTGTGCTGCCTTTATATGAAGTTAATCGTCTTGAATATCAACTGGCCATAAGATTTGCACAAGGAGATCTAAACCTTGTAGGAGCCTATGATGTTTTCCATTTTGACCGTACACATAATGTGAATTATTAGCAGTTTCGTTCGTTAATGTATGAATTTGCTTCTGTCAACATTGATAGGTACCTGTTGCAGCTGCTGTTTACTATGAAGACATGTTTGTAAACTTCAAGCTGGTCATGAAAACAACATCTTAGATAGCCGAGATTCGGTTGTGGATAACTAACGAATTCATGCATTCTGGTCTGCGCAATGCAGGAAGCCAAGTGATGTGGTATGGTTTTTATGTTATGCGATTGAATTACTTGGAAATGGGCATTTCTACATTTTTTTTTTTCAATTTCAGTGGTGTTGTTTTGAGATTTGAATTGTAGCTACTTTGTTGTGTTTTGAGTTTGTTTATGAATGTATTAGAGTGGTAGCTTCACTTCATCTGAAAACCTGGTGGCATTATCACTTACCACACATGTACTGCCCTCCTTCATGTCTATAAATACCTCTCAATATTACTTTCAAGTTCTTATTGAAAGGTTTTTTTTTTTTTTTTTTTTTTTTTTTTTTTTTTTTAACTTTGAAATTACGATAGGCTGGTAACACAGACAACTTTGCTATACCAGGAAGTCTATAGTTTTACCTCTTGTGTTCAATTTTTCCATCCCTAGTTTTAATTGATATTAACCTGTGATAAAACTAATTGCTAGACAGCACTACAGAATATCAACAGTGAGTAATCAGGCTATTTTACAATTTTTATTGTTAAGCTTGGATCCTTACTTATATCGAATTGCAATATATTTTGTCGCACTGTCAAGTAGTACTTCTCCCATGCGTTTTTATGGTGAAAAAAAAAATGAGGTTCTTATCATGACCTACAATTATCTGATTCTAGGTGTAAGTTTAGTCACATTAATATACTTTTTGCAATCATGTCCTATTCCTTATCATGACCTACAATTATCTTATGTCAGGCAATGATCTAATTTAGCTGCAACTTCTTATTATAAAGCTCACATACTATGCATTTGTCTTGATTTGGAAATGGTATTGCAAAACTACATTGTACATACTATATTGTAGTTTTGGAAACTGCATTGCAGTTTTCATTTAATTACAATTGGATTTTTGCTCTTTCCTTGGCCTTCAACCTCACCAATCTAAAGAGTAGAGGCTACCCAACTGAGGAATTGGGTGGGCAAGAGAAGAGTAGAACTCCCCAAGACCAAGGGAACTCAAAATTGGACTTTCGGAAACTGTATTGCAGTTTTCATTTAATTACAATTGGATTTTTTCTCTTTCCTTGGCCTTTACTCTCACTAATTTGAAGAGTAG